TTCTTTTTTCTTCGTTTTTGTTTTTTATTTAGTCAAACCCTAAAAACTCAACAAATCAAAATATATTACATAAAGATGAGAATTATTGTTCAACGTGTATTAAGTGGTTCAGTTACTAAAGTTGAGAGTGGAGAAGTTGTTGGAAAGATTGGTAAAGGGTTATTACTTTATTTTGGAATCAATGAAGAAGATAAAGAAAGTGATATTGATGGTGCAGTAAATAAAGTACTAAAGATGAAATTATGGGATAGTGAAGATGGTAAAAGATGGAGTAAAAGTGTAATGGATATGGGGTATGAAGTTCTTGTAGTTAGTCAATTTACATTATATGCTATTTTGAATGGAACAAAGCCAGATTTTCATAAGAGTATGAGAGCAGAGAAAAGCCATCCTTTTTATGACTTAGTAGTTAAAAGATTTAAAGAGTTATATGCAGAAGATAAAATACAAATAGGTGCCTTTGGTCAATACATGAAAATTAGTACTGAAGTAGATGGTCCTGTTAATATAATTATTGACTATCCTAAAGAAACAGAGAACAACCAGAAACAACAAAAACAATCAAAAGGGAAGAGTCAAGTTACATCTGGAACAAAAAAAATAAATCCAAAGAAAGTTAGTCAAAAAGAAAAAGAAAGTTGTTTGAAAGAAGAAAAGAAATAAAGACGATGAATAAATTAAATTTATTATAATATATTATTACTTTTCTTTTTTTAATAAAGAAGAACTTGGAAAGAAAAATATGGTTGATTGGAAGAATATACAAATAAAAGTTGTTGAACAGTTAAAAGAATTAGCACATGCAAAGTATGGGCTTTTTGAGAATAGTGATGTTTTGGCAATTCGAACAAAAAGAAATTTAAAAAGATTTTGTTATGCATATTTATTTATTATTTGTTGTTTTGCTGTTGTTGAATGTTTGTTCATTCCATTTATGATATTACCAATTTTAATAGCATTTATTCCTTATATCGTCATTAATACTCTCCGTAAGTGGAACTTTTCATTACCTGAGAAAGTTTTTGGATATCCTTTGGACTTTGTTTGTGTGATTGTTGGGTTAATGGCGTCAAATCTATTCTGTTTTATTTCTGGTACTCGATATGTTGTATATAACTTTATCACATTTACAGTTTCAAGTGTTTCTGTACAAGCACATATAATATTATGTATATCTGATTTAGAGCTGATAATTAAAGAAGAGAATAAAACAAAACAGAATGAAGAAGAGAATAAAGAAGAGAATAAAGAAGAGAATGAAGAAGAGAATAAAACAAAACAGAATGAAGAAGAGAATAAAACAACACCTTCTTCTCAAATTCACTCAAGGACTGCAAACGTTAAAGAAGATGAAGTGTCATCGTCAAGTGATGAGGTAGAATCAAAACAATAAATGATTTTGGTTATTAGAAGTTTCAAAATTAATTATGTGTTTTAAAAAAAAGATTGATTATAGATAGGATATGTATTTTCTGAAAAATTAAAATGATTATTTAGTTTCTT